CATTCCAGGTGAGAATAGGTCCCCAGTGATCCATGCTTGTCTCACAGGGCATTCCATGGTAGAATAGGTCCCGAGTGCCCCATGCTTGTCTCACAGGGCATTCCATGGTAGAATAGGTCCCGAGTGCCCCATGCTTGTCTCACAGGGCATTCCATGGTAGAATAGGTCCCCAGTGCCCCATGCTTGTCTCACAGGGCATTCCATGGTAGAATAGGTCCCCAGTGCCCCATGCTTGTCTCACAGGGCATTCCATGGTAGAATAGGTCCCGAGTGCCCATGCTTGTCTCACAGGGCATTCCAGGTGAGAATAGGTCCCCAGTGCCCCATGCTTGTCTCACAGGGCATTCCATGGTAGAATAGGTCCCCAGTGCCCATGCTTGTCTCATAGGGCATTTCAGGTGAGAATAAGTTCCCAGTGCCCCATGCTTGTCTCACAGGGCATTCCATGGTAGAATTGGTCCCCTGTGACCCATGCTTGTCTCATAGGGCATTTCAGGTGAGAATAGGTTCCCAGTGCCCCATGCTTGTCTCACAGGGCATTCCATGGTAGAATAAGTCCCGAGTGCCCCATGCTTGTCTCACAGGGCATTCCATTGTAGAATAAGTCCCGAGTGCCCCATGCTTGTCTCACAGGGCATTCCATGGTAGAATAGGTCCCCAGTGCCCCATGCTTGTCTCACAGGGCATTCCAGGTGAGAATAGGTCCCCAGTGCCCCATGCTTGTCTCACAGGGCATTCCATGGTAGAATAGGTCCCCAGTGCCCATGCTTGTCTCACAGGGCATTCCATGGTAGAATAGGTCCTGAGTGCCTCATGCTTGTCTCACTATGCATTCCAGGAGAGAATAGGTCCCCAGTGCCCATGCTTGTCTCACAGGGCATTCCAGGTGAGAATAGGTCCCCAGTGCCCCATGCTTGTCTCACAGGGCATTCCAGGTGAGAATAGGTCCCCTGTGACCCATGCTTGTCTCATAGGGCATTTCAGGTGAGAATAGGTTCCCAGTGCCCCATGCTTGTCTCACAGGGCATTCCAGGTGAGAATAGGTCCCCAGTGATCCATGCTTGTCTCACAGGGCATTCCATGGTAGAATAGGTCCCGAGTGCCCCATGCTTGTCTCACAGGGCATTCCATGGTAGAATAGGTCCCCTGTGACCCATGCTTGTCTCATAGGGCATTTCAGGTGAGAATAGGTTCCCAGTGCCCCATGCTTGTCTCACAGGGCATTCCAGGTGAGAATAGGTCCCCAGTGATCCATGCTTGTCTCACAGGGCATTCCATGGTAGAATAGGTCCCGAGTGCCCCATGCTTGTCTCACAGGGCATTCCATGGTAGAATAAGTCCCGAGTGCCCCATGCTTGTCTCACAGGGCATTCCATTGTAGAATAAGTCCCGAGTGCCCCATGATTGTCTCACAGGGCATTCCATGGTAGAATAGGTCCCCAGTGCCCCATGCTTGTCTCACAGGGCATTCCAGGTGAGAATAGGTCCCCAGTGCCCCATGCTTGTCTCACAGGGCATTCCAGGTGAGAATAGGTCCCCAGTGATCCATGCTTGTCTCACAGGGCATTCCATGGTAGAATAGGTCCCGAGTGCCCCATGCTTGTCTCACAGGGCATTCCATGGTAGAATAGGTCCCGAGTGCCCCATGCTTGTCTCACAGGGCATTCCATGGTAGAATAGGTCCCCAGTGCCCCATGCTTGTCTCACAGGGCATTCCATGGTAGAATAGGTCCCGAGTGCCCCTGCTTGTCTCACAGGGCATTCCAGGTGAGAATAGGTCCACAGTGCCCCATGCTTGTCTCACAGGGCATTCCATGGTAGAATAGGTCCCCAGTGCCTCATGCTTGTCTCACTATGCATTCAAGGAGAGAATAGGTCCCCTGTGACCCATGCTTGTCTCATAGGGCATTCCATGGTAGAATAGGTCCCGAGTGCCTCATGCTTGTCTCATAGGGCATTCCATGGTAGAATAGGTCCTGAGTGCCTCATGCTAGTCTCACTATGCATTCCAGGAGAGAATAGGTCCCCAGTGACCCATGCTTGTCTCATAGGGCATTCCATGGTAGAATAGGTCCTGAGTGCCTCATGCTTGTCTCACTATGCATTCCAGGAGAGAATAGGTCCCCAGTGCCCATGCTTGTCTCACAGGGCATTCCAGGTGAGAATAGGTCCCCAGTGCCTCATGCTTGTCTCACAGGGCATTCCAGGTGAGAATAGGTCCCCTGTGACCCATGCTTGTCTCATAGGGCATTTCAGGTGAGAATAGGTTCCCAGTGCCCCATGCTTGTCTCACAGGGCATTCCAGGTGAGAATAGGTCCCCAGTGATCCATGCTTGTCTCACAGGGCATTCCATGGTAGAATAGGTCCCGAGTGCCCCATGCTTGTCTCACAGGGCATTCCATGGTAGAATAGGTCCCGAGTGCCCCATGCTTGTCTCACAGGGCATTCCATGGTAGAATAGGTCCCCAGTGCCCCATGCTTGTCTCACAGGGCATTCCATGGTAGAATAGGTCCCCAGTGCCCCATGCTTGTCTCACAGGGCATTCCATGGTAGAATAGGTCCCGAGTGCCCATGCTTGTCTCACAGGGCATTCCAGGTGAGAATAGGTCCCCAGTGCCCCATGCTTGTCTCACAGGGCATTCCATGGTAGAATAGGTCCCGAGTGCCCATGCTTGTCTCATAGGGCATTTCAGGTGAGAATAGGTTCCCAGTGCCCCATGCTTGTCTCACAGGGCATTCCATGGTAGAATTGGTCCCCTGTGACCCATGCTTGTCTCATAGGGCATTTCAGGTGAGAATAGGTTCCCAGTGCCCCATGCTTGTCTCACAGGGCATTCCATGGTAGAATTGGTCCCCTGTGACCCATGCTTGTCTCATAGGGCATTTCAGGTGAGAATAGGTTCCCAGTGCCCCATGCTTGTCTCACAGGGCATTCCATGGTAGAATAAGTCCCGAGTGCCCCATGCTTGTCTCACAGGGCATTCCATTGTAGAATAAGTCCCGAGTGCCCCATGCTTGTCTCACAGGGCATTCCATGGTAGAATAGGTCCCCAGTGCCCCATGCTTGTCTCACAGGGCATTCCAGGTGAGAATAGGTCCCCAGTGCCCCATGCTTGTCTCACAGGGCATTCCATGGTAGAATAGGTCCCCAGTGCCCATGCTTGTCTCACAGGGCATTCCATGGTAGAATAGGTCCTGAGTGCCTCATGCTTGTCTCACTATGCATTCCAGGAGAGAATAGGTCCCCAGTGCCCATGCTTGTCTCACAGGGCATTCCAGGTGAGAATAGGTCCCCAGTGCCCCATGCTTGTCTCACAGGGCATTCCAGGTGAGAATAGGTCCCCTGTGACCCATGCTTGTCTCATAGGGCATTTCAGGTGAGAATAGGTTCCCAGTGCCCCATGCTTGTCTCACAGGGCATTCCAGGTGAGAATAGGTCCCCAGTGATCCATGCTTGTCTCACAGGGCATTCCATGGTAGAATAGGTCCCGAGTGCCCCATGCTTGTCTCACAGGGCATTCCATGGTAGAATAGGTCCCCAGTGCCCCATGCTTGTCTCACAGGGCATTCCATGGTAGAATAGGTCCCCAGTGCCCCATGCTTGTCTCACAGGGCATTCCATGGTAGAATAGGTCCCCAGTGCCCCATGCTTGTCTCACAGGGCATTCCATGGTAGAATAGGTCCCGAGTGCCCCTGCTTGTCTCACAGGGCATTCCAGGTGAGAATAGGTCCCCAGTGCCCCATGCTTGTCTCACAGGGCATTCCATGGTAGAATAGGTCCCCAGTGCCCATGCTTGTCTCATAGGGCATTTCAGGTGAGAATAGGTTCCCAGTGCCCCATGCTTGTCTCACAGGGCATTCCATGGTAGAATAGGTCCCCTGTGACCCATGCTTGTCTCATAGGGCATTTCAGGTGAGAATAGGTTCCCAGTGCCCCATGCTTGTCTCACAGGGCATTCCATGGTAGAATAAGTCCCCTGTGACCCATGCTTGTCTCACAGGGCATTCCATTGTAGAATAAGTCCCGAGTGCCCCATGCTTGTCTCACAGGGCATTCCATGGTAGAATAGGTCCCCAGTGCCCCATGCTTGTCTCACAGGGCATTCCAGGTGAGAATAGGTCCCCAGTGCCCCATGCTTGTCTCACAGGGCATTCCATGGTAGAATAGGTCCCCAGTGCCCATGCTTGTCTCACAGGGCATTCCATGGTAGAATAGGTCCCGAGTGCCCATGCTTGTCTCACAGGGCATTCCATGGTAGAATAGGTCCCCAGTGCCCCATGCTTGTCTCACAGGGCATTCCATGGTAGAATAGGTCCCCAGTGCCCCATGCTTGTCTCATAGGGCATTCCATGGTAGAATAGGTCCCGAGTGCCCCATGCTTGTCTCACAGGGCATTCCAGGTGAGAATAGGTCCCTAGTGACCCATGCTTGTCTTCTCAAGTGAAATTCACAATAGAAACGGTACCTCACCATGCTTATCATAATAAGATCAAGTTAATTGACATGGCTGATTGTATATCATCCTACCCCAAGTGGGTGGATCAGTGCTCATGCAATCAGCCACTGGTTTATCATCAAACATTCACAGGCCGCCGTGGTATAGCTGGAACATTGCTCCCTACTGCATAAAACAACATGCACACCCTCTCTGTTGAAAATCAGTCAGTGTATACATTTCAGGATCCAGTGTTTATTGGAGTTACTGGGGGCTAGATGGCCCAGTCATCTAAGGCACTGCGATTCGCTGTGCAGAGTTGTGTCCCTTGGGCACACGAGAAACCTATGATTGTGGGTTCTAATCCTGGTTCAATTATGTTTCTAGGTTTGTCAGCATCATACCTGTGCTCTTGGGTTCCACATCTGAGACCTGCATCACTTCGGGCTTTCCTCCCACATTAAGCTGACAAGCCACGATATAACTGTGACACTGTTAAAAGCGGCGTTAAACCCGACTCACTCACTGTTGGAGTTACTCTGTATGAACACTATGTTTCAGGTGACCTGCTAGAGAACTACTGTCATGACGACATTCTGATGAACATTGTGAGAATTGCCTTCGCCATCACCATCATGCTTACCTACCCTGTGGAGTGCTTCGTCACGAGAGAGGTAGAAAATAGGTCTCGTCCATCATATCCAGTGTTATGTGTCGATTCCAAAATTGAACCAATATGTTAATCCTGAAATCTGTACGTAATAGAACCAACAAATGGTATACATGGTATACAATCAACAAATTACAACAATTACATTAAGTTAGAAATGAATACAAATTACTGCATAGCAATTACAATGGCAGTGAACAATAGAGTGGTTGTACAATATTCCGTGGCAATATATAATAAGATGGCTGTGGTCAGTATCAAATACAATTACAGAGCTGATAGCAAAAGTCCGGCGAAAAGTTAGGCAGGGAATCAGGGATGATGAGTGATCCTCACATGAAAGCTAGTTCCAAAGCCATGAAAATGTGTGTGTCTCATCACTCACTGACCACTCACTCACTTGCCGATCTCCCATCACTCACTCACTCTGTCTCTATATTGGCAGGTTGTAGAGAACGCTGTCTTCCCGGCCAACCCTCCTACACCGCTGTGGAGACACATCACCATCACCGTCATCATCGTGTTCCTCACAGGTGCCGTCTCCATGGCAACAGACTGCCTCGGAATTGTTCTTGAGCTCAATGTAAGTAAATCAGAAACTAATAAACAATTATAGTGAGAATCCCCAATGTTGGAGTTTTAACCTATTTATTCTCTCAGTCAACAAGATTTAGTAAACATGATTATGAAATTTGTTAATATAGGTCAAAATGAACATAATTCTAACTGGAAAACTGTCACCCACGTCTCAAAATATTAAGAACTGAGTTATGGTTTCTGATAAAAAAAACCTGCATATTATGAGGGGGGATATAGTCGTCATCTGATCTAACTGTCCTTCCCTCATCTACCCAATTTTCCATCCGTATTTCATTTCCGGAGCATAACGGAGGAAAGACTTTTCATCCAAACTTTGGACATGTATTAACCAGAGGTTGAAGTGGTTCCAGGGGCGGTTGGGTAGCCTAGTGGTTAATGTGTTCGCTCGTCACGCTGAAGACCCGGGTTCGATTCCCGACATGGGTACAATGTGTGAAGACAATTTCTGGTGTTCCCCGCCAGGATATTGCTGAAATATTGCTAAAAGCGGTGTAAAACCACACTCACTCACTGAAGTGGTTCCTATGCCTATTGGGGGGGCCAGGGGGATTAATCATCTTCTATTGACTCTTGTTAGTTAGAATGAATGCTTGTCTTGGTCCTTTGAACGGCAAGAGTTGCCTCCCTTTCCATATCAATGTACTTCAGAGCTTTATCACTAAACTTTGCATTTGTTGGTTGTAGTTCTGGGTTAGAACAGGTCTCCAGTAATCTATGCTGGTCAAAGAGGCGACCAAATGTTTGAATAAAGATAAAGCTTCAGTCAACTGCAAAAAATGATCGTTTTATACTTGTATCTAAATATTTTTTGCTAGGGCTACGGTCAAACCATTCCCAATCGGACATTTTGTACCAATCTCTTGAGTCCGACAGCGGGTGCCCAGGTAGGATCAGGTAAAAGGGGGTTGGGTACCCGGGTTGTAAACTTTGACGTGTCCCAGCCCTAATGGAAAGGGAGGTAACTCTTGTCATTCATTCAGGATGACAAACCAGCCAAGATTCACAAGTGATGACAACCCTGCCTCTGCATCTTCTGCTTGTTTCAGGGGGTACTCGCAGCAGCCCCTTTGGCTTACATCATCCCTTCTCTCAGCGTCATGCGACTCCGACAGGAAGCAATGTTCTCAAGGGCAAACATCGGACCCATGGTCGTGGCGACGTTCGGCATTCTGGTGGCCATCATTGGCTTCATCATGGCGATGATCAACCTCGCCCGCGGTTCCACGTGCAGTCATGGAGAAGATATGCCTTATTGTTCTACGCATATCAACATGTCCTATCCGCTTGAGCCGATATTTCCAGTCAAAAGCACCACACCACTCGCATGATTTGTTTAGTGGATATATCAAACATACAAATTATTTATCATCAGACATGAAACATTTCAAATAATATTATGAAATTCTATTTACATATACACAGAAATATTGTAAATACTCTTCTGTGATTCAAATTGTGTTGATATTTTCCATGATCAGATCGCTTGAAAGGACATTCAGTGTAGCTGTTCTGTGTTAATGTAAGTGAGGCCAGTAGCTGTTTAGAAAACTTGCTGGATCATCATATTCTGGGAACTGCTGATGCACGCCATTTCCAATTTTGAACAATCTCGTTAAAATCAGATCTTAGTTCTCGCTGCCGCTAAACAAAGATCTGAGGACATCCCATTTGGGGTCACGTCAGAATGACCTTTCATCCGACCAATCAGAGCGTCGCTTACCAGATGAACGTGACAGTCGGAATGTGATTTCTAATCATGCAACCTCGAAAACTTTAACACAGGGTATTCCGAACCATAGTAACAGGCTTAACGACTGAATCCATACAATCTAGACCATCTATTAGCCATTCAAGAATGTTCTTCAGTTCAGGTTTCAAATTTGTAATCGAGAATTTGTCAAAATATGTTTTGAAGCGTAGTTGCCAATTTTAAATTTGTGCTGTAAAGCACAAGAAAGCTGCCTTCTGATTGGCTAATGTCGACTTCTTGTCAGTCATTCCATTGGTCGGTCAAAGTTTGCGCAAGGTCGGTAGCGAGAACTAAGATCTGATTTTAATCAGATTTGAATTCTGAACAAACTCTTTTTAGGATTTTGGTAAAATAGATCTACTGATTGTGATGTGTAGCATTTGTTAAATGTCCTATTTATTTTAAATTTCACAGAAACACTTCATATTATTTATACAGATTTTTTCATGGATATTTGTCCAAACGGTATCAGTTTGAGTTAGTTCTAAACAGCAAGTATTCTGCTGCCAATAGAGTTTGTGTTGCCAGTTTTATTGTTAGATCACAACATGGAGGCCGAAATACCTCTACATCACATGATCTCTCGATGGTGATATGATCTCAGTGTGATATGATCTATTCATGATGATATTATATCTCACTGGTGATAATCTCTGAACATTGATATGATTTCGCCATGGAGATATGATTCTCAATGCTGATAGTAAAAATATTATCTCTTAGTAATTAGTGATTTGATCTCTGCATGGTGATTTGAGATCTCAATGTTATTATTAATCTGTGGTGATATGATCTCTCCATGGTGATAACACTAAAAAACCAGGTCCCTGATCCATTCTTCTTCCACTGCCTTCTGATCTCATGACTGCAGTGATGTGTGAATACCGTATTCGACGTAATACGCGCCCAGGGCGCTCTCAAAATGAGAAAATTATTTTGGTGAAAAAAAGATACATTTCGTGGTTTATGCTGACAGCCTGAAATGTTTATGTTCGACAGATATATTTTTCCAGAATTTAATTGCCCATAATTAAGGGTGCATATAACACACGAGTGCATATTATATGCGAATAAATAAGTCTTGTGTACATTGATCAATCGGAAGGGGTGCTAACTGGGATTGTTCACTAGCCAATATATTAGCAAATATTGCTGTGGGCGCTAATTAGTGCGGGGCGCTTATTACGTCGAATAAGGTACTTTCAAATCATGACGTTAGAATATCTTTCCACTGAAAGAGAAATCTTCTTGTGATCGTTGTGATATGATTTAGCTAAAGTGCTTGATCAATCAACAGAGATATCATTCATCCTTGATGGAACAATTTATCTGTGTGGAACTGTGATTTCTCCCAATACAATGTGATATATGATACATTCACTCACTCACTCTGTTCTGAGGTGTTGAGGTAATCTAGTGGTTGAAGCATTCCTTGTCAAGCTGAAGACCCAGGTTCTATTCTATATTGAATACAGTGTATGAAGCCTTTTGTTCCCTCATTGTGACATGGCTGGAATATTGCTAAAACTGGCATCAAACCCTACTCACTCACTTTCCACTGATCTGATCTATCCCCAATTAGGAACCTTGGATAGTTAACATGGTCTTGGATAGTGGACACGGTCTAGGATAGTGGATCAAGATTTAGATCGTTGACATGGTCTAGGATAGTGAACACGGTCTAGGATAGTGAACACGGTCTAGGATAGTTAACACGGTCTAGGAAAGTGAAGACAGTCTAGGTTAGTGAACTCGGTCTAGGATAGTGGACCCAGGTAACCCAAGTGCTGCATCATGCAGTGCAGAGTTAGCTCCCTTAGCATTACCTGGATGCAAGTTCATCCTCAACTTGATTCTTGGTCTGCCAAGTACACTAATTGTGGGTTTCACCAAATTGATAGATTTTAAGACCTGTGTCGCGTTGGACTCTCTACCCATATTATTTCTGACATTATTTCTGTAAATCATGAAATGAATATGTCCAAAGATTAAAGCTTTGGGAGCCGACCTTTGGACAAAAAGCCTCACAATATTAATGGAGCCCCACCTTTGGAATCGAAAATCACTTCTTCTTCATCTGGAGACGACACCACCAAGACTAAGAATATCATGTTACTAGCTGCCTGAATAGCAGTACAGATACTTCTCCCACACAGCTAATTCGACTTGTAATCTAACATCTTCCTGAGGCAAGGGAGTTAACTGACTATAAAAGTCCAGTTTCCACCCTTGCCGAACTAGGCTGGTATTATGGAGTTACATTTTGGCTGGACAAACGAGTCTATGCATAGTCCAATCAAAATCGTGCACCGAAATCGAAATCCGGCTCGTAAACTGTCATGCAGATTTCGGTCGATTGCAGGATTTTGCAAAGCATGTGCACCGCTAACTCGTTGTCAGCAGATATTTTCTAAATCTTTTCATGTTTTTAATCAAGGTGCTCACGTGATTTGATGCACTTCACGATGTAAGACTCGTTTTATCACAATATAGATCTTGATTATCTATCAGATCGTCCTGACTGAGCGCCACCATTTTGTTTGCAGCAAATGCAAGTGATACGAGAGGTGAAATCTGATTGGTCAGTATGAGAGGCATAGAAAGGACATAACTCGCAATAGCCACTGGTGGCGCTACGATGGAGCCCAGGAATTCCAGCCTAGTTTTTAAGTCAGTTAACTCCTTGCCTCGGGAAGATGGTAATCTAACTGCTATGAACTCAATATTCAATAAAAACTGTTATATATAAATTACATGTCTACATCACTATCAGAATTCAAACTCCACTGACTTCCATATAAATGTATAAATAAATCATAGACATAGCTATTTATTTCTAATTTTCTTTCGATGGACCTTGTGTGGAAAAGCTGAAATAAATCGGTTAAACCTAAAATTAACGAAAGTGGGGCCTTACTTTTAAGGCCAGCTCGCCCACCTGGCATACAGTATTTATGAGACACGGAGTAAGTGAAACCTTTTCCTCCCCTGGCCCGGTGATGCCTGAAGTAGAGCAGACATAACGTAATGGCTGTGTGACCAGCGACTTTTATGTACAGTAAAAGAAAGTATTTAGTAAACTGTATTGTTCAGGCTGTAAGAGAGATTGGTCCAGAGACATCAAAACTATGGTAGTTGCTGGGGTTGATAAAAAAGCATCATGGTCTCGTTGCTGTGGTTACTCGAAGGATGTCCCAGTCACATCCTGACTGTTGGTTGCTGTGGTTACTTGAAGGATGTCCCAGTCACATTCTGACTCTGATGTTTGCTATGGTTACTTTAAGAATAACTCAGTCACATCCTGACACTGGTGGTTGCTATGGTTATTTGAAGGATGTCTAGTCACATCCTGACACTGGTGGTTGCTATGGTTACTTGAAGAATGTCCCACTCCCTGAGATACTTTCCGGTTCATTCTTATTTGAGTCGTAGTCTAGCAATGTGTTTTCTAGCTCCCGTTCCACAATGCTATTGCAGCACTTTGCTTATCATAAGTCTGTGTTCCGGTACAAGAACTACGTTTATAAGCATTATCAGTGTCTCAGCATCACATCAGAGTATTAAAATAACCTGATGTCCGTGAGATTGTACTGTGGCAGGAATATAGCTGTAGACGATACGACTGTCATCAGGGCTGGCAGGTCTGTAGAATGTTCAATGTTTGCCCTGACGCTGGAGTAGTTGCAGTCATCAGGGCTGGCAGGTCTGTAGAATGTTCAATGTTTGCCCTGACGCTGGAGTAGTTGCAGTCATCAGGGCTGGCAGGTCTGTAGAATGTTCAATGTTTGCCCTGACGCTGGAGTACTTGCAGTCATCAGGGCTGGCAGGTCTGTAGAATGTTCAATGTTTTCCCTGACGCTGGAGTACTTGCAGTCATCAGGGCTGGCAGGTCTGTAGAATGTTCAATGTTTGCCCTGATGCTGGAGTAGTTGCAGTCATCAGGGCTGGCAGGTCTGTAGAATGTTCAATGTTTGCCCTGATGCTGGAGTACTTGCAGTCATCAGGGCTGGCAGGTCTGTAGAATGTTCAATGTTTGCCCTGACGCTGGAGTACTTGCAGTCATCAGGGCTGGCAGGTCTGTAGAATGTTCAATGTTTGCCCTGACACTGGAGTACTTACAGTCATCAGGGCTGGCAGGTCTGTAGAATGTTCAATGTTTGCCCTGATGCTGGAGTACTTGCAGTCATCAGGGCTGGCAGGTCTGTAGAATGTTCAATGTTTGCCCTGACGCTGGAGTACTTGCAGTCATCAGGGCTGGCAGTTCTGTAGAATGTTCAATGTTTGCCCTGACGCTGGAGTAGTTGCAGTCATCAGGGCTGGCAGGTCTGTGGAATGTTCAGTGTTTGCCCTGACGCTGGAGTACTTGCATACGAGGACACCATGTGTACATAATACATTCTCATGTTGTGATTTACACAAATTCATCATAAATTTGGTTTATTTTGTTACAATGTTCTGATTGCTCATGTGAAGTCCTACAATGTATAAATTTGAAATTATGGAATATTATAGTCATGTTTGTAGTGATTATTAATAAAAAATTATTTAGTTGGTACATATACTTATTTAAAAATGGGTACTATGTTCAAGATCAACAACAGAATTTACAAAGTGACATGCAAATCTCAGCAACAAATCAAATGTAGCAAAATACTTGTTGTTGATATCATTGGTAACCCACTGACCTCCCTACTTACTACATAGATAATAACTATATATCTCCTATGCTATTGTGCTCATTCATATATAGGTATTGGTGCTAGTAGTTATCTCAAAATGTGAACACGACCAATTCAAACATTTACACCACGAACAGATCTGTGATTTTGGATTCCTTCATGTCTGTCTGTAAACTTACAATATATGTTGTAAAATGGTTTAAATTACTGGTTAACAAACTTTCAAAGCGTTCTATTGTACAAGGTGTGAAGTGTTA